CAGCAATAGCACTTTTCTTACTATTCAGCCATCAGCACGATAGCTTACGCCTTTGACTGCCCTCTGAGAGGCTTACCGCTCACCGTGGACAGAGAAAAGACTGTATTATAAATGGGTCTTGTCTCGGCCGGGAATCGAACCCGCTACCTATAGTGCACGTTATCACTTAGGCACTAAAAAAAACATAAGTTATTTGAAAATAAATTTTTCAATAGCAGATCAAATCAATTTTAAATACTTACAAATGATTATACGACGAGAACATCTTCATGAAAGAATTTAAATGAGTTACATCCAGTCCTATGATATTCCATGTATAAATGAATATCCATGCATGCCTTTTGAAAATCGAGCAATTCTTATTCATCGTTTGCCGCTAATACTTCGACAATTTTCTTTGGAAGGGAAACCCTAAACTCGTTGTCTAGAGTTGTCACAGCAGCATCACCGTACTTGGTTGCAATCAAATTTAATTCCGTCACTTTATATCTTTTGAATAATTCCGGATCCTTCATTTTCTTTGTTTCGAAGATTTTTTTGGCTGAGTTGTTGAATTCTGATAGATTCATTGTTGTTTACGAAGAAAAAAGACATTTTTAGCTTATAAAGACTATAAAATATCTAACACTTTTTCGTTTGAGAGGAATTTTCTGTCCGAAAAGACTCAGCTTTTATAGCACTTTTCACCCTAATTTTATCTTTACTATTTTCAAAATTTACCCTCTCTTTGCTAACCGAAGATTTCGACTCCTTCTTCTCCCGCGCATTCAGAGAGGCGTTGATGCACTTTCAATGATTTTTCATCTGAAGTTATTAACTGTTATCCCTCCTTGTTCTAAAATTTACAGCTCCTTCACCAACAGTTTTTCATTTTACCTCAACCCATGCATTTTGGTTGAAAGCGAACATTCCGTGGCCCTGCTGATAATGAGTGTAATTTAGATTATCAAAAAGAACCTATAATTCTAATCGTTTTCCATCATTTATCAGAATACGATTTATATTTTCTTATTGAACCATTATCATCATCAGATTTTTCCGGTACTATAACTATTATTCCTATCAATAAAAAAAAATATACATCATTTACCAAAGTAGTTGAAATAGATAAAAATAGAAATTTGAAAAGATCAAATGATGATAATGATTGAAAAAAGAAAAAAAATTCAAACATACAGCTCCGTTTCATTGACGCTCGAGCGTTGAGTCGAGAGCGAGTTGAGTTCATAATTTTTACATTATTGTAATACCTTCAATTTACCACCCTTAACTTTGTAATTTTTCAAAAGGCTAGGAAAAGGGTTAAATTTTCAAATACAAGTTATAAAATTGTAAAATTTCCAAAATCACAGTAGTTATGGATCGATGTACAGCGCAAGGTGCACTACGCGAAGAGACTTGTCATTGCCGCGTGCTTGTAGGCTTGCTCTAGAGAAAGAAAACAATCCAACTAACGTCACAAACCTTGAATAAAGGTTCATATCAGTGATTTTTCAATCAAAAAAAAATCATATGTTGTCATTGCGAAACGTACCTACGTGTTGATTTTTTCGTTTTCGTGACTGTAAGATAAAAGTGATGTGGTCATTGTATATTTCTCTCTCAGTTAAGCATACAGATTTGTTCTAGTCTTTGAATGATTTGTTACTAAATCAATCAAACAGTATTAGTGAAGTAATTGTAAATTTTAAAAAAGGTTTTGTAAAATTAACAGCTAGATGTGTTGCAGAAAAATTGCTATAATCCTAACCTCTCAAGTTCATTATGGTATATCCGCTTTAAGGTTGACCTACTTTCGATCAGATGTTTTATATGATGGCTTAGTCCGAGAAAATCAATCTTAATAATTATATTGAATAATAACAATCATTAATTTTTACTAACAAATATGTAATTAACACTTTTGACCAATTGTGATATTTTTTTTGTAAATATTTGAAGATGGTTGGTAGTCATGAGTCCGTTTCCTTTAATTCGTGACCGATGTTTAAGTCAACAGGGTAGACTCGAATAAAACGGAGATTTAAAACAGAAATACATTATGAAAATGTATTAATTTTTTTTAATTATGCTACAGTATTATTTAAGTAGTTGTTTGCTTGTGTTCGGCTCCAGTTGCGGATCCTGTGGGAGAATCCGAGTAGTACAGTCAAATGAGGGAAATGGAATAATTTTGGTTTTCTGCGGCCAAAGTGATGATTTATAGATGACTAGATCGGAAATTTTGCGAGGAACACGATGGTGTCGGTCAAAAATGTTTGGCACGCATGGAATACATCATGAAAAACCTCCCCCCATCGCGAATTTCTCGATTTCTATCATAGATATGAAAAAATGTTTTAAATAAAAGTTGCTCAGAATCTAATTTTAATGAAAAATGTACTGAACACTTTTTTTTATATCAATGATAGATAAAACGTTATTCGCGACTGAAGCTTCACTATTGACAAAAGCTTCAGTCGCGTCTAAGAAAATTATTAAAAAATAATTAACGCTACAAATATTACTTTGTGGCGATTTTTTTAAAACGTGAGATATCAAACAATATTCTCAGAGAAAGAAAATTTGTTTTTATCAATTTTTTCATTACTTTTATTAATAATGAATTATTTTAATCGTTCTGATTCTTGTAAAAATATACCGATCAGCCCGATTTTTGGCTCAAAATGTGCAAAATCAAAAATTGAACAATTTACCTGTGATTTATCATTAAAAAATAGTATGATGTCCCTGATCCTGCACTGCCATTCCTGCTTGATTATTATTTCCTATATTCCGTATCTCGTTAACTTCTCTTCTCAACTCTACTTCTACTATCTCTCTCTTCCTTTCTCGTTCCTCTTGCAATTTTGACTCAATCCGTGCACGCTCTAAAGCTTCAAATTTAGGATTTAAATCTCGCGGAATTAAACTTGATCTCCCTTCTCCTGCAGCTTCACTATTTCTCGGTCCAGAAGGTGTTCGCGGTATTATGTTCGGCATTTGTCATCTTATAATAAACGCTGTGTTCTTAACCCCTTAGTCATCACAGACACTCTTGATTTCATAAAAAAAAATTTTGCGCCTAATAAGTCAGCTAGCTTCTTCGCGATCTTAACCCTTTCGTGATTTTAACCCTTTTTCGCGGATTTTAACCCCTTTTCCGTGAATTTAATCCTTTCATTGGAATGTCACTTTCCAGTTAACAGAATCTTTTATTCTAATATTTTATGTTAATTGTTATCAACTTTTGCTTTGACCATTATTCTTTGCTCTGTTACACCATTTCTATCTGTCTAAATACCTATTTTGTCTCAGTTTGACTGTTTTCCATTTTTAATTTACTTTACCTAGTATACTAGTCAAACAAGAGACAAGAAAAACTTAAATAAAAATCTGCGTTTTGAATCTATCAATGCTTTTACATTATTCAAAATATAAAAGTTTTTCAAATATCTGTTAACCAAGTCCCATTGAATGATTGTGTCTTGAATGGCTGCTATGAGTGAAATTCCAGGACGAGCTTCTAAGTTAAAAGCCTCGTCAGCTGGTGGTGAATTTACCGGCCAGTTTTCTTGATTTTCAGCTAACCAGGTGGGTCCCCTCCACCATAGCGAGTAATCTTTTAATTGATTGGCTGTGATGCCTCTTGAAGCACAGTCCGCTAGATTTTCCTTGCCAGAAATGTGGTGCCAGTGCGCGTCCGCAACTAGTTGTTGAATTTGCACTACTCTGTTCCTGACAAAGTTCTTTCAGCGTCCTGCATTTGAATTGATCCATGAATGAGTGATTGAAGAGGCCGTCCATAAGTGAATTGAATGTATCTTCACTCTGTGGAGTGTAGCTCGAACATACTTTGTGAGTTTTGCTAGAATTAACGCAGCAGTTAACTCTAGCCTGGGGATCGTGATTTGTTTGATTAGTGCTACTTTAGTTTTCGCACAGATGAGTGTGATTTTGGGCCCTGTGGACGGTGAATTGAATTTGAGATAGATTGCTGCAGCCATCGCAAGCTGTGAAGCATCAGAGAATCCATGAATTTCTACAGTTGAATGTCTGGTTGTGTGAATCCATCGTGGAAGTGAGATCTCATGAAGTTGAGTAAATTCTTCTCTGATGATCAGCCAGCGATTGATGATTGATTGTAGGACTGGTTCGTCCTAGCTGAGGTTGTGTAACCAGAGTTCTTGAAGGAGCATCTTAGCTCTGATTGTGATTGGTGACACAAACCCCAAAGGATCATAAATTTGAGCTACTTCTAAAAGAATGAGGCGTTTTGAATATGTTGACTCATGGGTGACTGATTTTGATGTGAATGTGTCTGAGCTTGGATTCCATTGAAGTCCAAGAATCTTTGTAGTGCGGTCTTCGAAGGTGATTTTTTATTGATTGACTGAAGATTGTGACGTTTTTTGAAGAAGTGATTGACTGTTCGATTGCCATTTTGCAAGAGGAAAGCCGCCCGCCTTGCACAAGTTGATAAATTCCTCAGCAACTTGAATTAATTCTTCTGGAGAATCTGCTCCTCCAAATATGTCGTCGACATATCTACCTTTAATGATTGTCTGAGTTGCTTTTGGATATTTATGGCCTTCATCCTCTACTAATTGCAGTAACACACGAACTGCTAGATAAGGAGCTGATCTAGTGCCGTAGGTTACTGTTGTGAGTTGATATGGGATGATTTTGTTGTGATTGTCTAGCCAAAGAATTTGTTGAAGCTTCCAATCTCCATGATGAACCATTATTTGACGATACATTTTTGTTATGTCAGTTGCGAATACATATTGATGTTGACGAACTCGAAGAAGTACGTCAAAGATGTCTAATTGAATTTTAGCTCCGGTGTGAGTGATGTCATTCAATGAAACTCCAGTTGAGCTCGGGCTGGATCCATTGAAGACGACTCTAAGCTTGGTGGTAGTGCTACTTGGTCTTAAAACCCCATGATAAGGAAGAAAGTATAGGTGAATGTCTTGAGATTCTTGATTGATTGTTGGAGCTGGTCTCATATGACCAAGTTATTTGTATTCTTTCATGAATTGTCTGTAAAGATTGCTGTACTCAGTCTCGTTGGTTAGTCTCCTCAACTGACGTTTCAAACATCGATACGCAGTTGTATAGGAGTCTCCAAGAGCTGCAGGTGAAGGAATGAGTGGAATTCTGACAATGTATCGTCCTGATGAATGTCTAGAGTGAGTTGATTTGAAGAAATCTTTACATTGTTGGTCCAAGGATGATAATTGATGTTGATTTGACATCGGAACTTCTTCTTGGACCCAGAATTTTGTTAGCAACTCTTGAATGTCTCCATGGTTCGTAATTGTAGTAGCATGATGAATGTGATAATGATTGACTGATGAATTTGGTGCTACTGGACCAAGAATTAGCCAACCAAAGATAGAAAGTTGTGCTATAGGAGCTGTTGGAGAGTGCGATATGATCTGTTGTTTAATGATTTGTCCAAAAAAATCAGCTCCAAGTAGAATGTCTATTGATTGTGGAATGTTGAATGTTGGATCAGCTAGTGTTAATCCATTGTGATGCGGCCAGTGATTGTTGGGATAATTACATGGGACTTTTGGAATTAAAGCTGTCAACCGTTTCATTATGTGAGCTCGAATGTATACTGAATGATTGGATGATAATAATTGTAGCTCGCAGAATATTACACCTTTTGTTTGAGTAAGCTTGGAGCTTCCCACTCCTCTTATGTTGATTGTCTGATGGTGTTTTCTCAGTTGCAGCAGATTGGCTAGATGAGATGTGATTAGTGTTAGCTCTGATCCAGTATCTATGAGCACTCGTGCAATGTAACTCCCTGAATCTGAATTGGCTTTGACTTTTGCTGTTGCTAACAGCGTTGAATGATCATCATGTAGATGACTTGGAATTGTTTGACTTGAGCAGATTGCTCTTGTCGATGATTGTCTGCTAGTTTGAATTGAATTAACGTTGCTTCACTTTGCTTCACTTTGGCCAATAAATGGACCAAAGAATTCCAGTACAATGACTCCAACCATGTATATCCTACAGTAACTCCACGAGAACGCTCCGGAACAGACATTGTAAATTTAAATCAACAATCAAATGATAAATGAAAGCCAACATTCTCAGACTGGCAGTTACAAAAACCCTGAATTCAACAGAAATAAGGAATCCAGTAAGAGTCAAAATAACTAATTATCTTCATAAGGAGCGAGTCTATTCACATGAACAACTTTCAGACGACCATTCGGAATTTTATGAATTCGAAATACAACATCATTAAGTTTGTTTTTGATAATATATGGACCTCCCACTCACATTGAAGTTATGGACACTTTCCTTTAACTCTTTTAGGGAAAAATAACCAAACCTTTTGACCGACATCAAAAGAAAGAACATTAGATTTCAAATCATACATACACTCCAGTTTTTCGAAAAAATTATGTGTTAAAAGTACTCTTATATATCGAAAGGGTTTCTATTTTTATCGTTTATAACAATTTAAAACTTATTATTTAAATATTACTGTGATCAATAATCACTTGTTAGTAACAATGTTCAATTGTTATGAACAAAATTCCATATTATTGACAATATTTATTGACTATTATAGCGTCTTTAATGCTGTTCACTCAATCCTGACACAAGTTTAAAATTCTTTCATTGCTAATATTGTTTTATAAATTTTTTTTTTTTTCGATGAAATATTGTCATCATATATCCATACAAGTATTCCATTCATTTAATATTCATATTTCTGCAATGATCTTGAAATTTTGTCTAAAAAATAGTATAATTTATAAATTGAGAAATTCAGGTCATTTCCCATTTTTGCTAGTTTTTTGGTTCTGCCAAAAAAATGGCTCCACCGATTTTCCTGAAAACTTATTCAGTCCTAAGTTACGTAATTACGCGTCGAATGCAGTTGATCCCACGTCGATATCATTTTTTGTTCTCGAGATAATCGAGGCGAAAAATAATTCCGAACGTACGTACGCACATATGCACATACGCCCATCCGCACATACGTACATATGTACATACACACACACAGACGTCCACTGGAAAACGGTCGTATTGGATTCGCGGGACCTTAAAACGTGGAGATATTTCAAAATTAGCGATTCGCAAAATCGGACCCATTACTATAACTTCCCACTGGGAAGTTAATAAGAGTGATGGTATGGAAGACATTCCAGTATTAATTTTTGAACCGCCATATCATTGGGAATATTTACCTTAAAAATATGAACGCATAAATTCGTGGCCAATACATAATTATCATAGCATTCCATGAAAATCTGAAGCAATACCATATCAGAACTTTCATATATTCTTCGTGTACTTGTCCAAGATCGAAACCGTATTTACGCGAAAGAGGATGAAAAGAAAAAATGGTTAAAAAGTTTAATTGACAGCTCAAAAGTTGTTATCAATTTGGTTGAGATCAAATGTCCTTTGCTTTATGCTCTGAATATAAATTATCTAAACGATTGTGGGGTTTATAATGCAAAAAATAAACAATGTGCAGAAAAGAATGTAAAAATTCTAAAAGAATCGTATATAGAGAATTTACATGAAAAAACCCCATTTGAAAAGTCATTTAAATTGTATCGATTATTAGAAAATATAACAAAAATGTCGAGTAAAGATATTGCTTGTCTTTCAAAGTATTTTTTATTGAAGATTGTTCCAGAATACATTGACAACATTTGGGATAATTTACCGGAACATTTACAACTCGATAGAGATATTTTATTGCATCGTAAATGTTACAAACATTACATGCTATTAGATCGTACGAGAACGTTGAGAATCAATTGTAAAAAATGTTAAAAAATTCTTTCTAATACATAAAATGAAATGTATAATCTTTATTTCTCGAATAAAAATTCTTTCTCAAGACAAAAAATCTTACTATTATTGTTAAAGAAGTCATTTAAATGTAAAGGATTACAAATCATAGTTCAGAAAATATAAAATAAAAAAAGATAATAATTTTTCGTCTCAATAATTTTTCACGTTTAAAATAGGTTCAGTTATAATTTACTCATACAGTAAATGAAATATTTCAATAGATTATTCATAATATATATTATGTCTTACTTTAATGAGTAACAGAGAATAAGAGTATAAACAAAGTGAAAAAGATATAAAGGTGAGGAAAATATGATGCAGTCGACCGACTGAGTCAAACGTTAACGTTTCTAAATGAAATAAAATAAGTCGATTATTTTTCGACACATTACCCTTCAATTCTTGCGTGAATTACAGCTTCTTAGCGGAGAATAAGAGTATAGACAAAGTGAGGAAGCGGTAGCAGAGCGAGGAAAAAATAAGATAGCAGAGGCATAAGCGACAAAGAAATCACGTTTAATTAAAAATCCAATCAAAGAATATGTGTCTTTAAAATTATTTATCCATGGTAGGGATCGTGAACAACAATGTCATTTATAAATTTTTTTTTAGTGAGAATTTTTTCATGTTGTCAAATTCTTTTCTCTATCTGTAATTTGATGCTGAATGATGTGATCAAGGCCTTTCTATATAGATTTAAATCAATATCGTTTAATAATTTATCACCATTGGCCTATTTGAAATAGAAACATTTAGCCATAGTGTATGATGCATAGGACGAAATATTTAGTTCATTTCCGACAGTAAAACCGATCGAACCATACTAAGTAAGTAGTGACTTTTTCTTTATCCAAGTATAAAAAGTGTGTTTTTTTTTTTTTATTTTTTTTTTACATCAATATGATTATTTATTAAGTTCAATTGTGAATTTCATGAATTGTTAAATGATGATTTATCAAGTAGGGAAATTTTTTTTTTTTAATGTTTAAAAAAAAATCCATTATGATCGTTATTACTTTTTAGAAAAAGATGTGCACTCTTATTTTCCCGGAGGCCTGATTCGACCTATCGATCGTCCTCCGAGGAATTATTATTCTAATGGCACTTAAACATCATTGGAAAGAGACGGGAGGAATAGAAGGCGTTACCCTTACACTTTGTGGCGTGATGGCTACCTGCCTAACGTTCTTCGGTAACGTCATATGGTTCCGGATAGAGGGAGACATCTCCGTCGTGCCACCACCTCCAAGCCAGGAAATTATCATTGTCGAAGACAGTGATAGTGAGGTAAAAGTTCTACTGCTTTCTCCAGCGACTGTCTCATCGGAGAATAGTGAGGTAGAATTTCTACCTTCTTCACCTCGAACAATTGATGACGATAATTATGATGATGATGATTCCACTGACTATGATGATGGTGATGATACTGTAAGTCTTGTCTTATAATTAGTTTTTCTAGTTTTACTTCTTTGAAAAAAGTTATTAAAGAAAATAATTCTGACTTTTACAGGTTGATTAATGCTACTTGGGAACCATTATTTATGGGATTATTTTTTTTTTTCATAGAAAAAAGAAAAATATATTAACTTGGAAGAAAAGTTGCTTTTACTTTAAAACCTCTCCTGTCATCTAACAGCCTTGAGACACATCACCGCCATTTTTTTTGCTGATAATTAAATTTTAAACAAAGTCGGTAAAAAAATCGGTATTATAGCTGATGATAACTTATCGACAATCGAAGTCAGTAAGAAGAAATTGCAATCGTTATGATTGATGCTAATAATTTATCACTGTCGATAACTTATCGCGGTCAGTAATTAGTGCAGATCAGAACCCACTTCTCACCTCGGCCGGTATTGCAGCTGGATCCAGAGCTCTCCTTATATATCTACTCTCTGAGAATGTTCATACATTTCAAACTGGAAAAATGTCTCATGTTTAGTTAATCGAATCATCTGGTAACGGAATTCTGAAAACGATTTCAATAATAACAAAACTGATCAGGGTAAAGATGAAGGTTCTATTGTAGTTAGTTGTCCTGATAGCCATCAAAACCTCAACACATACAATAATCTTACTGATTATTCAGAAAATATATTGTTTCAAGATTTACCTAATGTTAACTCCGATCATATCAACTCTGGTATTGACGAACAAAATGTAAATGATTCTTCTTATCCCAGTTATAAATCGCAGAATTCAAATGTTGATGATCCTGTTATGAACAATTGCAATATAACAAGCAATGATAAACATGATACAGGAAAAAGTTGTATTGAGATGAATATTTCTGAATCTAACACAGAAAACAATTATTTAAATCATAATTCCAATAGCAGAGTTAACTCTCACGATACTACTATTCCAGAAATTTCTTCAAACAAATCGAACAGAAGTTTATTTTTAACAGTAGATAATATCGACCCTTTCGATCCACATAATCTAAAATTGCAACGATCTCAACCGAAAAATGATGAAAAAAACTCAAAAACCTTACCTCCTGAACAATATTTTGTAAGGAATTAAATGCCGGTGTGCTACTTACAAGTAGACGATGTCAACTAAAGTATAATCGTCAGGTTGATAATTACGTTCCGTGTTCCCATTATGGTAATTATCATTCCAAACAAACTTTACGTATTCACTATAAAAGATGTGATAGAAATCATAATAAAGGTGACATGATATTCTTAGCATGAGTAAGTTCCATAAGAGAGCTGGCTCTTATGAAACTAAATGACGATATTGAAGAGTATAAGTCAAT